AATCAAATAAATTTAGCCAATTTCTGTCCGAGTTAGGTGGTCTATAACAACAGCAAATGCACAACTTTGTCCTTGAGTTTGTTGTCAATTCTACAGTGACCAATTCAAGTTTACATTGTTCTTCGACTATTTCATGTACAGAATGGAATGAACTTGATTTGACTGCTAACAACACACCACCAGCACGGCTTCCTCGGTCCTTCCTATATATCTCGTAATTGTTAGATAGTATTTCTGCGTTAATAAAGTCTTTATTTAGCCAAGTTTCCGTTACAAACGCAAGGTCTGCGTTTTCCGTGTATACAAGTTATTGGAAGCGTGCAAAGTTACTAATTCGTTGACCATTAACTAAATGCGAACTTTTCAGGCTTCGAGCGTTGATTGCGAGACAATTTAACGAAGAAATTGCGCAAGGTTGATTAGTTCCAAGTGAACAAGGTCCAGGGTTCGTTGCAATATCTCCGGCAAGCAAGAGTAGGATAGACGCATGCGAGATCTTGCAATTAATTTGTAAGTGTAAGCCATAGCAATGCTGGTTATTGCATGGTAAGTTATACTTTCTGAAAACAACATCACGGGTGGATACCCAAACATAGCATAGTTTTTCGGGCAGAGAAACAAGTTTGGAGCAGATTAAAATGTTTTCTGATGTAATTTGGGTCTTATTAGTGTATTGATTAACTTTCACAGACAATTTCAAAATTGAAAAAAGAATTAACATGTTAATTATGAAGCGTCCAATCTTAACTAGACTTTTCTTTCCATCTGAAGTGTTTTTTAAAACCATTTCTGAATTTAACACTTACACTCACGTGATTTAAAGGTTTCTACAGCAAAACTTCATATTTAAGCATGGAAATTATTTGTAGTATATGAAAGCCATGGATTATGCTGTATTTTCAGAGTGTAAGAAATACTGTAGTATTATTTAATTAAACAATTCGTAGTATTAAAATAAGTTATTTTTTACAGATTGACATATAAACCTTCAATAAATTGCTTTATAATGATGTATATCACTATTTCAATATTCAATGCATTGTGGGAGGTAGATTTGAAATGAATACTTTGTGGAATAAATTTGTGATGAAATGTTGGCTATGATTGGTCAATTGCAAGAATTGCATTGCATAAGTGCTTCTAAGGTCCTTTTGGCATTAGATCATGTGTTACCAAATATTTCATTTAAACTCATTGTTTTATTTTTTACTGATTTTTGCTAATTATTAGTTAGCATTTTAAAAGAATATATAACTTTTAATACATATGTAGATACCCCTCCCAAAGAGAGAAATTCCAGTGAAAAGGATGATTCAAAAGCACCACACAAGGATGATTAAAAAAGTCCACCGAAAAGGAAAAGAAAAAAAACACTCATCAGATTCTTATGAGTGATTTTACTCTTCTACATATTGAATTGTCAACCCAATTGCAGTATGTTGACAAAATATTTTTAACTATAAGTTTATATATTAGTAATAATCTGTTGTGAAGGACTCAACATTAGGGAGCTTAAGCATGTAAGACTTCAACACAATGATGATGGCAACCAATACAATGAGTCAGTGAAAAGTGAATAAATAATTAAAGTCTCAGGGGGAGTTTCAGACATGGTCGTCGCTCTGTTTAGGGACCCTTCATTATCTATACCTGGGCCTGGTACCAAAGAGATATATGCATTGGGTAATCTAGTTTTTGACTAGCTCATGGGTTGGGTAAAAAAATTTATGGTTGTCGGTCAGCTATAAAATAAAACCATGCAAGCATTACCCGCGAGGAAGGTTTATCATTGGCTAGGTCAGTGAGGAAGGTTTAGTGTTCAACGATCGATAACACCAAACAAGTAAAACAAATCAATTGTAGTTGAACAGGCAGTTGAGGCTGACAAATTGTGGTGGTACTATTGTGATATAGTACCTATACCAGATGACTATGATATTGGAGAATACTTGTTGTGGATTTACCTTGTCGATGGTTAAACAGGTATGATCTACTTGAAACCAAGTTGAAACTTGTTTAAAATGTTCTTGATACCAGTACGTCTGAGATGATTTACATTTTTTGTAGGATGTCGACGAGATCGCCGATAAACAGCGGAGTAAAGTGGAGAAATTGGCCAAATACGTCTATTTGCAGGAGGTAGGCACATTTCAAATTATTATTTCGGTCAGAAAATATTAACTATTTTACACCAAACCAGTGATAATATATTTAGATAGGTACCAATTATGTTTCTATCAAAAAGATTTAGGGAAAAAGGTAATGTAAGTCCACTGCTGTTTATCTGAATTTGCAAGCCACAAATTGACCTTTAACTATGATTATTGCTTGGCCATTTTCTTGTGAAATATTAGTGCTTGGCATTTCACACTTACCAATGACCACCCCCAAAAGTACCATCTCTGAACCATATAAGCACCTCAGAATAGCCAAAGCTCTTATGGTTTGGTAGATAGCAGTATGGCGAAAGCGTCATTTTTGGGTGTGGTTAGTTTCAGACGTTTCGCCCCGGATTGGGGTTCGGGCAGCGTTACCATGTTGACCGTCATGGTCAACTTACCCTAAAACAGTTGAGATTATCTGTCCTAAATGAAATGCATACAAACTCATATACAGGTCCTAGACTACAAGGTGAAATGTTGTAAACTAGCTGCCACAAAAATTATAAACAAAGCTGAGGAAGAAATTTTAGCATGTGTGATAAGATAAGATAAGATAAAGATTTATTAGCCACCAATACCATTTACAATATTTCAGATTTCTAATATACTGTTACTGTTTATATAATGGTAATTTATGTTGTTATATTTACAATGGTTATATTAGTGGCAAGGAGTTATCCAGAAACCATAAGGCTTATAAATTGGATATCTCCTTGAAGCTTTTCAAAGTATATATATCAAAAGTATTTTGTTAAAACAATTGCGACAGCTAGTGAACGCAGTTATATGGCTTAACATTGAAGTAAATATTTTCGTATTCTATTCCTGAAGCAATTTAACGTCCCTGCATTCTTAACGGTGTCAGGGAGCGAATTCCACAGTTTTGGACCTCGTGAAAGCATAGTAAATTGTTTTATATTAGTTCTACATGCATGTGAACGATATGTGTCAGCGTTTCTAGTATTATAATTATGAAACTGGTTGCTGGTGCTAAATAAGTTAAGAAAGGGGGGTGGAAGTAATTTGTTATGGTAGGAATACATGAATATACCTGTACAAAAGGAATTAATCCTATTGATATCAAATATTTTCAATTTTTTAAAAAGCGGAGCAGTATGAGCCAAAAAGCTCGAACTAGTCAATAATCTAACTATTCGCTTTTGTAGAATTTGTAACTGTTTTAAGTTAGAAACATATGTAGACGACCATATTGTGTTGCAGTAGATAAGATATGGATAGATTAAGGTGTAATATAACGACAATTTAGTACTTTTCGACAAGTTGAAACGAGCTCTGTATATTACACCGATAGACTTCGAAACTTTTTTGCATACGTAATTTATATGAGGTTTCCATGAGAGATTTTCATCTAAAAGGACCCCAAGAAATTTGATCTGTTTCTTTTGTCTGATTAATCTGTCATCAAGAAGAAGGAGAATTTCATACGTGGATTTCTTTTGGGTTGGTTGGAAAATGATGTAGTTGGTTTTATCAATATTGACAGAGAGTTTGTTAGCTTTCATCCATGTACTAATATTTAGTAATGCCTCATTTAATACTGTAGCTAATACTATGGGATCGGAGCTAGCATAACAAATGCTGGTGTCATCTGCAAATAATAGTGGTTTGACTAAATGTGAGGCGTTTGGAAGATCATTAATATAAAGGATGAAAAAGAGTGGGCCCAATATTGACCCTTGGGGTACACCACATTGTATAGCTATTCGAGCAGAAGAAAATTTGTTATATTGAACAAATTGTGTTCGGTTATTGAAATAGCTCTTTACCCAATTTAATGCCACTCCACGAATCCCATACCTCTCAAGCTTAGAAAATAGTATATCATGGTTTAAGGTATCAAATGCTTCAGACAGATCTAAGAAAACACTTGCTGTTATTTCTTTTTGATCAATAGCAGTTGCAATTTTATTTATCAAGTGAGTAAGAGCAAGATTGGTTGAGTGGTTAGTTCGAAAACCAAACTGGTGGCAGTAATAAATTTCAAGTTTATTAGTAAATTCTACCAAACGATTATACATGACCCTTTCATAGATTTTTGAAAAACTAGACAAAATTGAAATTGGTCTGTAATTTGTGAATGTATCTACCTCACCAGCTTTATAAATAGGAATTATTTTAGCTACTTTTAGCTTATCTTGGAATAACCCTGCCTCAAGTGAAGAATTAATTACCAGCATTAATGGTTCAGATATTAATTCAAACGATTTTTTTATAATATGTATAGGTAGGTTGTCGTAGCCAGGTGCTTTTCCATTTTTAAACGACATACATATCTCTCTCAGTTCATTAACAGTTGTAGGTTTAAGGAATATGGTTTCACTAATAGTAGGGCCTAAAAACTCATGAAATGAACGATTTGTTGGGGGAATCTTACGCGCAAGGGATGGGCCAATTTCAGAAAAATATTTACAAAAATCATTGGCAATTTTAGAGGGTTCATTGATAGTCATGTTATTTGATCGAAAAGATGACGGTAGTGAGGGTTTTTTACGTTTTAGGTTAGTGACTTCATTTATTAATTTCCATGTTGTTTTCAAATCACTTTTAGCTAATTCAAATTTTTTATCATAGTAAGTTTTCTTTGATATTCTAATTAGGTGATTCAATTTATTTTTGTATCTCTTATATTGAGAGTCACGTACAGGGGTAGGGTTTGCGAGATATTTTTTGTATAATTTTTTTTTTTTAACGCAAGTCAGCAAACCTTTAGTAATCCATGGTGATTTTGATTTCCTACAAGAATTCAACTTAGATATTTTTAAGGGAAAACAATCCTCAAAATGCCTATAATATTCTTCGGCAAAAACATCGTAAAGTCTATTTGGATCCTGCCCTATCAAAACCCGAGTCCATTCGACCTGTGATAATTTAGTTTGAAACTTGATAATATTTAAATCATTGTAATCCCGAGTATAATAAGTGGTTTCATTATTTGGTTTCTCAAATTTAGTACTAGATAATGCAAACACAGGCAGGTGGTCCGACAAGTCGTTCAGAATAATTCCATTTACAATATTTTGTGTAAAACAATTCGTAAATATGTTATCAATTAGTGTTGCTGAATGAGAAGTTAGCCGCGTTGGCTTATTAATAAGAGGAATAAACATATGTGAAAATAATGAGTCTATAAATTCTTGTGTATACGCATGATGATCACAATGAAGTAAGTCCAAATTAAAATCTCCCATTATGTAGCATTGCTTGTTGTCTTTGGAAATAATAGAAAGGATTTTATTAAAGTCTTCGATAAATGAGACAAGGTTTTGGTTGGGTGGGCGGTAAACAGTTCCTACAATAATGTTTTTCCCAAGAGGGTTTGAAATTTCAACAAACAGAGACTCAATTACTTCAGGATTAGAAATATTACAGTCTTGAATTAATTTGTACTGAAAATAATCACCTAGATAAAGACCTACACCACCGCCTGTTTTACCTCGGCGATGATTACTAATGAAGTTATAACCAGGCAGATTTACCATATTAAAAGTATCATCGTTTAGCCAGGTTTCAGATACTCCAATTACAGAAAATGAGTCGAGCAAATTTGTGGTTAAAACTCTAAACCTATCAAAATTACCAATGAGACTTCGACAATTTATATGCAAAAAAGACATTCCCGAATTACATGGTTTATCCGTTACAAGTTCATTAACTTCACTTTCAATCATGTACCTACTATTAGATGGCATTAGTTCGTTAAAGTTTAAATCTGGGTCAAGATTAGTTATAAATGAGTTCTCGAAAGTAGAAGGCAGATATTCAATTGGATTGAATATTAAAGATTCTAAACGATCTAAGTCAAAATTTAATGGACCATGTTCAAACTCATACAATACTGCATTAAAGGCGGTATCATCCAGGTGATTAAATGGCAGAGGTGACTCACTTTCAAACAAAGAATTATTAACAGCCATTATTAAATATAATTATACTTATCTTCAAAAAGAAGATAGTTATAAACTTTGTTCTTGAGATAACAATTGAGCAAGATCCTCTCGTTTTGTTAGCTTGATAACAACATCACCCTCGGATTTGCGCAAACAAATGGCTTTATTTCTAACCCAGCAAAACTTGAAGTTATTCTCACGTTTGTATTTGTTCGCCTCAAACAAAAGTTCCTGTAGACGTGGGGGTAGATGTTCATAGATACTAAGATAATTAAGTTGCACTTCTGAGGAGAAACCAAGTTGTTGTGGTTGAACGTTGCTAGTTTCCTTTCTGAGAGCAAGAACCCTTTCCTTAGCCAAGCGACGGACGAATTTACAGATTATTGCACTCGGCCGATTTGATTGCCTTCTCGCAAGGACTCGATGTGAAATGTCTATGTCCTGTTCTGTAACTTCAGCTCCGATCGCGGCGAACAAATTCAAACACAATTTCGTTGTGTTTTCGGCTGATTCATTCTCACATTGCTGTGGCATGCCGACGATTTTCAGATTATATTGATAGCTATAGTCCTCCATTTGTTCAACGGAGGTCATAATAGCTTCGCATTTTTTAGATATCATGCTAACTTGCTTTTTCATATCTTTGAGATCTTGAATCACGTTGTTTTTAAACACAATAATATCATCGTGTTGTGCGCTTATGAATTCGATAGACTTAGTTTTATCGGCTGCCTCAGACCGATTAGTTGCATGGTTGACTTCTTGTCCGGTAAGAGAATCGGCCATGCTGTCTTTTTTCTTTGACACTTCGTTTGTAATTTTATCCAGCCTTTCCGTTCTAGTGCCGTGATCTCGAGTGCTTGGTTCTCTTTCCGAAGCTTAGCAGTTGCCATAAAAATAATATTAGGTAGTTGTATGATGTGAATAAGTAGTGAATTTATATATCTTAATATATAAAATTTTAGCGGAGCACAAAATACACGTCTGCCCACGAGCACTGACGTGTGTCAATGTGAGGCTGAAGAAAATAATACAGCTTCATTACTGAGGTGTGTAGCTGTCATACATATTTAATACAGATTGACAAAATGTGTCGAGGTCCTATAATCAAAATCATTGTTTACATACCTGATACCTACACTGTCAATTCCCACAAACTATAAGATAACCATAAGTATATGGCAGGATTGGCAGCATCTGTTATTAGAGATTTACATATTTTTACAATATTTCATATAGTGAAAACATATTCATTTCACAGACCTAAGGCTGGTATACTTCAATTTAAGGTATTATAATCGGTTGCGGTAGTAATCATGTGTTTATAAAATGCTCTGTCGTCTGCTGTGTCCGCCTTTTATCTATACCCATCGAACTTCAGTGCGCTATTGTACCTGAATAACTGAACTACTCGGCATATGAACATTTTTTTTCATATTCGAAACGATCAGGCTTTTAGCTGTGGAATGAATAAAGCAGTGCATAATAAAAAACAATAATCACAAACTTGTCATAGCATTTTTGATAAGATTTTTTCTACTTAGTAATAATTATGAATATGCGAGTATAGTTTATTGAAGTGAAATTCATCAACTTAATAAGTACCAAATACAACGGCGAAAATATGCGACTTTGACTCGGCATGGAGAACATATCATTCAACAGCTAAAAGGCTGATCTTTCCGAAGATGAAAAAATCTCGTTCATACGCAAGTAATTCAGACAAAATAGCGTGCTGAAGTTCGATTACCTTTATTTTGACACACCCTATATAAAATCAACATTCACTCTGGATATTATTTATAGCATAATTACTACATATCAGATTTGATCGGCAGGCGTATCGTTTTTTAGACCAATGGGAATTTTGTGTTGTGTGGGCAACATAGATTTAATTTCTTGATGTGTCTGCAGTTCCTCCTTTCCTTTCGCATGCCCGGAAATCTAAACCCGCAGAAAGGAGGGACTGCTCACAGTCTAGTGGAAACGAGCGGGAATTCGATTTCCACCAATTAGAATGTAGCTCCCAACTAGGGATCCAAGGATAGTGCAATGTTTCTGAAAGGACATTACGGTAATATCAAATTTTTCAATTGAAAAATTAAAGAAACATATCGTTCATATAGACATAGTATTTGCTGTGTTGGTGTAATGTACTCAGGTGAATAAGATGGTTGTGTGATGTTACTCTGAGTGTGGATATACACTCAGAGTAACATCACACAAGCATATTATTGTTCATAGTTTTGCAACTCAATTGTCGAAATGATGCGGTTTGCGAACTATAACGAGTGTACTTCATGATAACAGAACTACGAGATAGTGTTTAGATAATTTATTTAGTGACACAAAGCTTAGTATGATTCTGGTATACTATATTGTCTTTCTTTAAGTAGCGATAATCAGTTGACATCAAAACCTACGAATTTACAGAGTATATAGATGTGCTTGCTTAAGTCAATGTTTTTTATGGTAGACAAAGACATTTGTGATGAAGCGGTTCGTATGTGAGTTGTCACATTGACTTCAGAGTTCTGTTTCCGTAAAAATCAGTCGCATCATTGTGGTTATTGATGTGAGAGCTTCTTGCCATTCAAAATTGTTTCAAACTCTCCTTTCTTCGGTCAGGTGTTGAATATAATCAGAAGTTTTCATTTAAGCCATTTTCTGGAGTTAAGATCAGGTATGTACGATTTTTCGATCGTGTTATAATTTTCTTATTTGATTATCGGTGACTGATAGTTGGCAATCCATGTATAACTGAAATACAGATGTCATCTGTAGTGCAGCAGTGTAATAGCCTTGTTTCCGCCAGCCAAACACAGTTTGTGGATTCTAAACTATAATTTCGTGGAAACTTGCTCATAGAATACAGATTTCTCTACTGTTGTGAGTGGTGGCTTTTTGATCTGAAATAAAAATGT